CGAGTTACTAACAGGAAAGAAGGCATTAAGCTATGACAGACCAGAGGAGGAGAGAAGTTTAGCCAACTATTTTCTCTCAACACTGAAGCAAAGCAACTTATTCCAAGTTCTTGATGATAATATTGTATGCGAAGGAAACAGTGAGGAGTTGACATCAGTTGCTATGCTTACGAAAAGGTGTTTACATGTTAAAGGGGAGGATAGACCTAGTTTGAAGGAAGTAGCTATGGAACTTGAAGGTCTGAGATTAGCAGGAAAACACTCGTGGAACCAAACAGAACCCAATAAAGAAGAGTCGGAATCCCTGCTTTCTGGGAAAATGAAAGCCTTTGCAATTGCAAATGGTGATGGTAGTAGTAGCACAGCTATTGGACATGATAGCATCAGGGATCATATTATTTTACCTATGGGTAGTGGGAGAAGATGTATAGTATAGCATTAGAATCGATGTGGAGTGAGGTTATATAGAACTGACAAGGTAAGCATTACTGTTGTCGAGTTAATTTATGATTTTATCTTCTGTTAGATTCCTAATCTATAAAATAAGGATGCGGATTGAGGTTATACTGAACTTTCAAGATTAGCAATATTATTGTTGAATTGGTATACGACTTCTCATATGGTTTTGATCTTGTAAAGTCTTATTTTATTGACAGTATTCTTTGTTAATTATTTTCTAGTATAAGCATTTACTGGTTTTGAAATTATGAGTAGGTAATACAGTAAGGAGTCAATATCTCTCATTTGGCATGGATTTTCTTACTCGTAGTTTGACGTAACCAGCAGTATTTTTATCTTGGAATCCAACTCGATCCATAGTTCCTATATCCCCTTGCAACAAGCAATTTTAATCTGCGAAGAAAGTCTCAAACTTCTGCCTCAGTGCTTGTCCCAATTCCATAGTTCAAATGATTGCTTTAAATAAAAATGATGCTCTTAAGTCTAATAAAACTTGAAAGTAAAAAGGAAAAGCTTAAGAAAGTGAGGAAACCTAAACCTTAATGTTTCAAATAATTTAATATTAAGACAAAAAGATAAGATAAAAAATGTAAATTTGTACAATTGATAAAGAAAGATTTTATTAATTTCTAGAAGAGCAAAATAATGTTTGTGTTTATCAAGAATGTTGGGTGTAAATTATTCAAAATCGGCCATACTTGTGCTTTTGTTAGGGGCAAATGATGAACCGGAATTACCAGACGGTGCACTGTCATGTGTGACAACAAGAAAGATTTGGCTGGCCGTTTGTTTTCTGGTTAAGGCTGTTGCCAGAAGACTATTGATAAATGCATTTTTTACACACTTATGTATGTCACAAAACATGTATTATTTTGGAAAGTAAATGTTAATATGGTTTAATTCTGTGTAATTTGTGTTTTGTAAGCTAAAATCGATGAATGTGGTGAAAATTCAAGAAAAACAAGCGAAAAATGGCTAAAATGAAACAAAATCAAAGTTTGAGGACTCACGTGCAAATACTGAAAAGTTGTGTCGATCTCACAATGATTATTTGAGAGTGTTAGACATCAATTGGATGAGAAAAGAAGCCAAATGAATGAAATATAGTCCAAGTACTATTACATATTAATTTCTAACCGAAAAAAGTTATAATTCGAATTTTTAGTCTCAATTTGAGACCCATTTTTAGCATATGAAATGTTCGAATTTGAAAAATTATAATTCTTGAAGATTTGTAGACCCTTTAGTTATCTTTCCAACGCATTTTGTATCATCTCAATCGGATATCGGGAAAAAAAGATATGATCAAAATACTGAAAGTTGTCCGATGGAAAAAAAATATACCTATGCGGCCGCATAGGTCTAATTTGATGCAACCACATAGTGCATTCCAGATCCAAAATTGAAAGTGGGACGTCCTTCTATGCGAAATTTTTGGTGAGATTTTGTTTCCTTTTCCAACTGAAACTCTACTTTAGTAATAAGATTTTAAGCATCCTATATATACCAAACTTGACCAGAACACAGAAGGAGACCTAGAAGACGAAATTTTCAAGATTGGAGAGCATCTTACGAGGCAAAAAAAAAAAAAAAACACAAAATTCATCCCTAGGCTTGAAGATCCACTCGTTTCTTGATTTTTTTTTTTCTATATGCAAGCACAAAATTTATTTTTTAACATTGCCATTGAATCCTATAATGAAAAAAATTGGTCTTGTATTGTGAGTCTCTTAATAATCTAACTTTTTAAAAAATAAAAATAATTATAAAGCTATTGACAGTTCAGTTGTCAATACTAAAATTGCTATCAAAGGACATGTTAATGGTTTAATATATGTGGAGAATTACTTCTTTCACTTTTTATGCAGAATTGACCCAAACCTTTACTTTGTTGCATCCACGATACCAAATCTTGTAAAAACTCGCACATGAATTCCAAATGGATGAAAACTGTTAGTTTGACGTTAGTTGATCAGATAATTGACATTGACAATAATTTTGACCATTTTTAAAAGGTTAAAATGGTAATTTTACATTTTTTAGTAAATTTACTTGTAGATTGGTTCTTACTTGTCTAGCTGAGTTTTTGCTTAGGAGCTGTCTGTTTGTGCTTTTCCCCCAGATTTTTAGTGTTTTTATGCCCGTTGATAGTGTTTTTATGCCCGTTGACAGTCGTAAACTTTGATTTCTCTCTTACAAGACACTTTACCAACGGTCTGAATTTCACTTTCAATTGTGGCCAAAAGTGCTGCCAGACACCGCCTTAATTCATAGCTTAATTTGTTCAATATATCCCTGTAGGATAATATCCTTGAAGAGTTATGTCATTCCAAATACTTTTTATTTCAAATTATATTGTAACTTACAAGTTCCCTCCAAGTCAGTGGCAAGTCGTGATTAAAAAATAGCTGTAGAAGGACTCTTTGTATCCAAGCGAGACTAGTTCGTTCCATATGGAATAATCTTTATACTCGGTATGTCAAATAAGTACATTTCATGGGACTATATGCGTAACTGCAATGTCATCTTCTACCGAGGAAACTTGTATCCCTAAATATCACTAGAACTTTAAGTGTTGTGGTATGATTGATTTTTGAGATTACAACTTGTTCGTTAACTTGCTTTTCTTTCAATTTGTCATTGTAATTTTATTGTAAGTCCTTGTTTAAAAGAAATTATAGAATTCATTTTAGTTAATTGAAACTAATTAGCTAAAAGAAAATAGATCCACCTAGTCGGTGGCCTTGGTCATTGCATATATCAACTTACCAAGCTCTAGCATCTCATTCTTCCACAACATCATGTTATGTAACTTCGTAAATGTAACTGAACTTTTGTGTGTCAAACTAATCAATTGTCATCTACAACACTGCTTTGAACTAGTTCATTTAAAAACTTAAGAAATGAGAATTATTTATTTATTTAAATGCGTTTTCAAATGTACCTGGGTTTTCATGTGCGAAAGCCACATCTAAATTATACCTACATCTCCAAGAAGCAACTATACAATCTCTTTGTATTTTTACGTTTTTCTTAAAGGGAAAACAGAGGACTTCTCGATGGATGCACCGAAGGAAAAGCATTTTTTTTTATGGAAAAAGAAAAAGAAAAAACCTTCCTAAAGAGTGGAAGAACCGTGGAAAACGGCTTGCCTACGGTTTTGTCCATTAACACTAACGACGTGGCAAATTAATACGTGACGAATCAAATATATGAATGCTTAAACTAGAAACTAGAAAAAGGATATAATGTCAACAAAATAAGGCTTATTACATAGATTGCCCTAATTACAAGAATCAAAAAATGAACTCTTAACAACTATAATGCTAATCTTACAAAATCAGCAAAACTCAAAATAACGGTCCTAGGATTTCAGCAAAATAACGGTCCTAGGATTTTTCAATTGAAAAAGGAACTGATGAACCTGATGCAAGATCAAACCACAGTCAGTGTGTTCTTCACTAAACTTAAAACCATTTGGGAGGAATTGACTAGTTTTCGGCCAAATTGTAACTGTGGAAAGTGCGTCTGTGGTGGTGTTCAGGAACTTAACAAACATTATCAAATGGAATATATTATGGCATTTCTAATGGGGTTACACGAGTCTTTTTCTCAAGTGCGAGGTCAAATTCTTCTAATGGATCCTATACCATCCATTAATAAGGTGTTCTCACTCATTTCACAAGAAGAAAATCAGAGGAAATTACAGACAGCCTCTATTGATGTTAATTCGGATGCAGGAGCTGCTTTTGCATTCAGATCTGACACTGGGAGAAATAGATTCAATTCTGGTTTTGATAATGGCAGAGAAAGATTCAACTCTGGTTCTGATAATGGTAGAGGAAAGTTCAATTCTGGTTCTGATATTGGTAGAGGAAAATTCAACTCTGGCTCTCGAAGTGCACCTGGCAATTGGAAAAGAGATAGACCATATTGCACTCATTGCAAATACCATGGTCACTCTATTGACAAATGTTACAAAATCCATGGATTTCCACCAGGATTCAAACCTAGATCCAGAGATAACTATCCACCTTTTTCTAGAAATAATAATGTTAATCAAGTTTCTGTTAATCCACAGATTGAAGAGAAGCTCATGGATCATTCCACTGGCGTTGACAAATTCATGCAGAACTTAAGCTCTAACCAATATCAACATTTGATGACAATGCTGTCTACTCACTTGGCTTCTACATCACAGTCCACTTCAACAGACAATGATAAGGGTGATCCCACATATGCTGCAGGTATATATATTTCTACATCAGTTAAGCAAATTTTTGATGCAAAGGATATATGGATTGTGGACTCCGGTGCTTCAAGACATGTTTGTTCACTTGCTGCTGCATTCACAAATATGAGACCCATTCCTAGTTCTAACATCACTCTGCCTGATCACACATGTATACCTGTCCGTTTATGTGGTGATGTGCGTTTAGGGCCTAATTTGTTACTTCATGACGTGTTATTTGTGCCACAATTTAAGTTCAATTTGCTGTCCGTAAGCTCGTTGACCATTGGATCTCACTTAAGTGTGGAATTTTTTCATGATCAGTTCATAATCAAGGAAGCTTTCACCAGGAAGATGATTGGCAGGGGTAACGTTGAACAGGGCCTATATGTACTGAACATGAATACTTTTACTTCTATTTCTGATGTTTTTGTTAACACTGTTTCTGCCCGTGTGTGGCACAATCGTCTTGGACACCTTTCTTTCAAGAAGTTAGATGTACTGAAGCCTCATTTGCTGTGTAATTCTGAAGTTTACAATAAACATTTACCTTGCTATATATGTCCTCTGGCTAAACAAAGGCGATTGCCTTTTGATTCACATAACAGGCTTTCCAGTAAAATCTTTGATCTCGTGCACTGTGATATATGGGGTCCTTATCAAGTGACGTCACATTCAGGTTACAGGTATTTCTTGACTCTAGTGGATGATCATTCTAGGTTCACCTGGATATATATGTTAAGGCA